AATCTCAGTTAATTTTCGAACCCTAACGTCCGAGATAGAATCCTATCATCGCCAGCCAACTTTGCTGGTCAGCATCACGCCTGTCGTAATAGGTCCTCATAAGGTTCGCTGGCTGATGGATGCCGTTTCATTCACAGCATTGATTTAAATTGACCATTTGAGCGTCATTTTCAGTTCATCATCTTTATCCTCGTTGACATGCAAGTATGTTTCGCGCCTGTGTGCGTGGGTGGATAAATTCATCATAAACACCTGGGTATGCCAATGATTTTTGATGTTACTGTCCTTTTTCACGTCCTTTAATTGCTGTATTATCCTGCGGTTGTTTTTTTCCACTTTTTGTTGACACCATGGTTATGTGGTTGCTGAATATCCATCTCTCGAGGTGTATAAAGCCGTTCCTTGACGTGTATGCGAACAAATGGTGACTTGGTAACTGCATTGACAGGATTCTCGGAGGTTTATCGTTCAAGGCTGTCATAAGGGAACCGTTTCCGTTGCGTCATTTATCGAGGTAACTGGAAGGNGGAAGGTCTATCTGTGTACTATAGCTTCTGACGGCCGATAATAGACCCTGTCCTGGTCCAGTTCGTTCAAAAACTGGCCGTCTTTGCTTCTGGAGCTGGGTGGTGTTTATGTGATATTTTGTGCGATTGGCACATTTTGCTTCTTATCAACTCGGGGTTGAACGTGTGTTCACATCTTCTCGGTTGATATTTTTCTTTACAATTGGATATGCTAATTGCGTTTGCAAACACGAGGTTTCCCTGTTTCCTCTCGTTCAAACAAGTGATCAATCCGTTGATCGATTCGCAAATAAGGCATGTGTTCATGGATGTTTCCATCGTGCTCGTCTTGTCTGTTTGTTTGTTTTTTGATAACCTCACTTTCTATTCTCTTTGTCACTTTTTCATAGCCCTCTCGAGAATTGGCCGAGCAGACATACGAACAAATTCGTAAATTCAAACGTTATTTGAAAGATCCGTGTCCACGTGAAATGTTATTAATTGGTGGTGGAAATACAAAACAGCAAATGGATGCGTTACACAGCGGGGTATGTCCGGATTGTTCACACACACACAGTTTGGTCTGAATCTACGGTACTACTCTCGAGTTTTCCTCAAGACCATCTCGACAGTCAATCGATATGTCCGTTGGATCATGTGCCATTTGTGTAACCCATTCTTACCCCATGCTTGTGATTTTGATGTTTGTTCTTTTTTTGAATTGGCTCAGCACACCAATTTTCATTGTGTGACTCGTCGGTTGCGGAAAATCTATCACATAAGTACGTTATGGAGATCGAAACACTGTGTTTCTCAGCCACATAAATTGTACTGTTTTGTGTCACGAGTAGTGAGTGAAAGGTGGAACAGCTTTTACCAACCTGCAGCCCCGCTTTGCCATCTGACCGTTTCTGAAAGGAAGGGTGTATATTCCCGTGATTATCGCCCCGGATGTTACTTATTTTCGTCATCTCACTGGGATTGAGAAACAGCATCACATGAAGGCAGTACATGGGGTTTCCTGGCCGAACGCTGTTTGCGAGAGTCGGTCGCGTAGGAGTATTTCGCGAAGTCCAAGGGAAGGGTGACCAGTCTCAATTCAAGACACCTACCCTCAATCATACTGAGCCTTTTGGAGGCCTGTTGTGAAGCTATTTCCTATCTGACTTCAAGCTGAATAACTGGCAACTTTTATGATGCGTGACTCCACTATCACCCTACTCAATGGCACCAATGACGGTAGTGCAGCAAAGAAGATAACCGCCCGCATTTCCAAGACTCGAGCAGCATACGCAGGACTGAAACACCTTTGGCGTAGACGCGACGTTTCACTGAATTTGAAAGGTCGTGTATATTGTGCTAGCGTTCGTTCAGTCCTGCTTTATGGTTGTGAGACCCTGAATTTGTGAGTGGAAGATATCCGTTGACTAGAAGTCTTCGATTATCGGTGTTTACTCAGTTTACGCAGCCCATGTTGGATGGAGCGAACGGGTTAGTAACGTGGAGGTAAGCCGTCGTGTGTTTGGGAGTCTGTCAGGCATAAACTTGCTAGCATACCGAATTCAGATTACTAGGGTTCGCTTGTTAGGGCACGTATTGCGTATGCCCCTTGCTTTTCACATAGTTATTATTACGATAATTGACCCGCCCTGGTCAACTCTACTTTTCCTTGATTAGTGAAATGCAGTTACGATCGTCCATTAAAATTTACTCGAGTGTTTGTTTTCGTTTACATGTCTTGTACCTTGTTCTGATGGCATAAAAGTATACGAATCATGTGACAATATAGGGCAACCAAAGATGCATTCCATAAATTTAAATCCATACCCTGGACAGTGGGCAAGCTGGAAGCTGTAAGAGACACTGCAGTCCTGAAATACGGGTTTTTTAAGTTGTTGAGATGATGTGAAGGTATTGTTGGTATGACTCGGGGTTGTTCACGAAAAAAAATACTAAGAAACTTTATTTACTATCTAGAAAATGTGCCCATCTAAAAGATCTAGAATGTTTCAGTAAACAAGCTCAATTTTTGCAAAGATTTTAAATTTTCAACCACCGGTAATCATTGACGGGTCCCGGCTTTAATCTCGTGTTTTGTGTTTACGAAACATTCCTACTAATGAGTAGCATAATTCTGAACTACTAAATGGCATTGAAGACTGATCGCACATCGTGTGTAGCCGTTCCATTTAATCGTATCATCCTCGTTTATGCATTGAAAGGTGGATATCGTGGTTGCTACGCCAGGGCGTTTGGATGACCTCATTTCTACGGGGACGCTGTTGCTGAGCAACTGTCGATTTTTCATTTTGGATGAGTGTGATGGCTTACTGTCTGCCGGTTATGGGGATATGATCACGCGATTGCACGGACAAATTCCTAAGGTCACACCAGATGGAGGCAGGTTGCAGATGATTGTTTGTTCGGCCACTTTACACTCGTTCGACGTGAAAAAGCTGGCGGTAAGTTTCTTCCGTAGGGAACTATTTATTTCGTGCATATAGGGGTCATTTTTGGTATATTCTAGCGATTACCTTATTGTCTAATGGTTTTGACAATATTTTCGAACGTGTTGATCGCATATTTTCGACATTTTTCCAGATTTGAAGGAAACAGCTGTTCTCGTCACATTTTTCCTCCACTGGAATACACACGCGTATATTAGAATAAGTAGTATATATACCACTTATTGTAATGTATATATGTATATAGTCAAACACCTGCCATGTCGCACCCCTTGGGAATTCGAAAAAGTGGGGAACAGCGACATAATAGAACGAACAGTAGTAGATGCTAATAAGTAGTATAAAAATCGGTTGACAACTTTTGTGACAAAACAGACCGCATCCATGAAAAGTAGGTTAATCCTGTTAGTTGTTCCCAATGTTTACAATTATGAACTGTTTATTTACATCTGATTTTAGATCTCCCATCCTGCGTGCCCTTTATGTATCGGAGAAGTTTAAATCTTTTATGACGCCCTCAGTTTAATATCGTACGTTGCATGCGGTATTCAGCCCCTTTTCGGTTCTGTGTCTAGTTATCCCGAAACTACCTACGGTTTTCAGTGAAATTTTTTCCGACCCAATTATCCCACAGTATTTCCAGATATTCCTCTATTTCGTTGCTATGTTAGGCTAACCACAGAATCGGTTATATGACGTACAATATAATATACAACTGTTTTAGCTATAATAATCACATCATTATTAACCCATTCAAGGAAAACAAAGGTGAACCAGTTCAAATACAGTGAGAAAGAAATAACATCTAAATTGGGTGAAATATCTGTTACGGGGTGTACTCAGAACATGAACTTCCTTCCCATATTCAAACTGATTGTGCAATCTATTCATGATATTCTAGTGAAAAATGTGGTCCATTAGCGTCTATTCGTTCATTCGCTTTTGTTGTTACCAGTGTTTGTTCAAACCGATTGATGTATTCATCATGACCGTTGTTAGTCGGACTAAGTTCAACACGCGATGCCATAGCGTGATTCTTAAACCATACCTTTTCCATTTAAAAGGTCCGAGTATCAATTTAAGATGTCACGTTGCTATGTGTATAGTAGGATAGTCCAATAACTCCTTCGTTTCACATTGTCTTGTACTTTTTGTGATCTTGCGGTCATGTGCAGCCCATCCATGTGGTGAAGGCACGCCTGCTGTACAGTCGAAGTTCACTGGGTCTGCTAAAGACTCGCGGTTGTAGACAACGTGTGGTATCTCGTTTGGGATAGGTGGGCAAGCGTCAGGTCCCTTACTGCGGCTGAGTTATCCTACCGATCGGTTGTGTGATTTTCGGGCCGGCTTAGGAGGAGGATAAATTCTGAATCGGATGCTGCTTAAGTGTTGGTAGAGAATCACCACAGAAGTATCAAGTGTGGAGAGATGTGCATCACGTGGGAAATTCAGAATGTAAAGGTTCAAGCGATGAAGACACCAGGCCAACGCTTGATTCATCTTAGATACACTCACTATTTTGAGCGGGTTCTCGCGCAAATTTTCCGGAAGGCGTGAGACGGGAGTTTACTTGGAAGAGATTCACTCCTGTTCAACCAACCGAAGGCCATAGACGACAGCCTACAGGAATTTCGGTAACGCCCAAGCAATTAACGCAATTAAAAGTGCATCTCATAAACTGCCCTTAGACCCGGGTTACGATGACCTCTGGCAAGTGACCTGTCTGATTTCATCAAGGCTCTAGGACAAGTGAGTATCATTCATTCATTCGCACAGGCGCGTCCGCGCGACGGTGGTTATCGATCGCTCGGATCTGACATCTCACTCCACATAACCGCGATTATCGTTCACCCGTTTGCACGTTAATACGAAACAGCCCATCGATAGGCCGAACGGCCGTGGCTTTGATGACCACTGTAGTAAAAATAACCACATTGGAGCGCCCCACAAATAAAACTGCAGATTACAAAGATGTATTTTTAGCAAAATCATGAACCGTCGTTTGTCTCAGCGTGGCTCTTCTTTGACAATGAGCAAACGCGCTGTTTAAGTCAATTGTACATCAATAATCGACCCGAAGTCCTAGAATTAGCCAAGGTAAACAGCTTCAATCGATCCAATAACTCCTGCGCTTCTGATTGAAATGACTTCCGGCGCATTCCCTGCCTCACATTCATCTTCTTCTTTGCAATGCTTAGTTTGATTCGAAAAGAACTCATCTAATGACTAAAAAAGAAACTTGATGCAGAAATTTTAAATAACCCACTTCTTCATCATCAAATACCAAACAGGCGAGTTCTTCTTCAAAAAGACTATCATCAATTGAACATAATAAGTAAAGTCCTCGATCAAATTACATTTATCCTCTGGGGGCTGCATCACCGGCTGAGTCAATCTGGACTTGAACCCAACTTTTATGAAAGCGTTGGTCAGTACGTGCGGGTGCACAGACACCCAAACTTTCTTGACTAAATGCATGGCCATAAGAATGTCCGCCTAGGCTTTCATGATAAATTGCTGATCTTCGATCAAAGACAAAACATATTCCAGTAAATGTTTCCGAAACAAACATTGGAAAAACCAAATCTAACCCTGATCCGTTGGTTGTAGCATTGAAGAACAATTCGGAGATAACCGTGTCAATTTGACGTTGGAGAATATTGCGGTTTGGTTATGGNAGGGGCGTTGTTCATAAACAGTAAAATAGATGGCCTTCGAGAAACCATTTTGCAGTTGACATCGGACAGTCAACTGTGAAATAACTTAGAAGTCATCCATGCATTCTTTGAAGAATTATAACTGCATGGAAGGTTTTTTCTATTTATCTACCTCGGAGGCATCGTGGAGTTTGAAACTTTCCAATCACCAACTGTGATAATTTTTCCCTAGTCATGCTCTCAAAAAGCAGTAACGTGACCCTCTCTTTGGACTTCTTCGACCCCAAAACTGTCTTTCCTTTCAAACTTAATATTCTTTCTGGGAGCTGCCTGTAATG